GTTCAGCCATTTATCAAACATAATCCTCAAAGTGTCGACACCAATTTCTACAGTCATCGGTGCACACCAACTTCTTCTACTCCAAGGCTAGCGCTGATACGCCTGTCGCTCAGAGAATACTGCAGCAAGTACCTGTACCCTCGGCGCAGATGCAAATGATGATTGGACTTAGTGATGTCACTGTTTCACGCTGCAGCCATAATGTGGGCTTTTAATGCATCAATAGAAATATTATTTTTCATTTGCTGTGAGCACAGCATATATGCTAAGATCCTTTTTATTATGCAGCAAAGACAGTGACTGTGCAGGGTCAGACGGGTACAACTTTCCACATCAAACTTTGTCACTATCACGAGTACAGTGTCTGGGTACTTGTAGTGTACTGGGTGTAGCCATACTTCTCAGTGAGAACTTGACTTTATGAGCTCGGAAAAACATTAATCTGTCTATAACCTGGAGCATCCAGGACTGGAGAGTTCCAGTGTGTGAAACTGATGCTATTTGAACTGCACTCATCCTCTCAGCTTCAACAAAAATGCCTTCTCTGGCCAATCAAATCATCCGATCATAGTTACTTTAGCCACCGGCATAAGGCTGTGGAAGCATCACATCGAATATTGACATAGTGCTGATGCCGAACAGATGTGCGATATAACAAGGACATCATGTGCAGACCACCTCCTATGCAACCACACACTCAAACAAATGCACTCACAGCAGGAGGTCCCCAGCCCCCAAACTGCAGATTAACAGAGCAATCAGCGTAAAGGCTCTTCAGCCGTTCGAGCCCCAGATTTTGATGGTGACCCCCAGAGGTGGTTAAGACTAGAGGCCATGTTAGCCACCCAGGAACGTCTCTTCTGACACGATAGGCCAGGACCGTTATGTTCCACATCTTTTCTTTTTTATTGTTATACCTAAAAACCCAAACACATCATCAGAAAAAAGCAATTAACACTGACTGCTTTAGTTTAACGCTTAGAGGAGCGACAATCTGCTATTACAGAAGTCAATTTTCATTGGCTGTTTCCTTCATTGTGTACCACTTTGCTTCAATACCGCATACGTTCATGACCTTTGACCTTCTGTATCAAACCCTTGTTCACCTCACAGCATCACTTGTCCCGACGTGGCTCTGCAGATAGCTACACCTGGTGATCTGCTGCAGCGCAAACTATCACGTTACTTTATCCAGCATCACTGAGCCAGGCAGCGGCTAGCAGCTGGGAACATCTGTGTATATGCTGCCATATATCACACTGTATGAGTGTACAGGGCTTGTAAAGAGTGTGTGTAGGATTAGTGCCAGCTGGCTTTGGTGTGCATGTAATCATATGTATTTTCATCTACATGTCCACTGGTATGTATGATCTGGGCTATAATATAATATAAAGCATGCCTTTGTCCACCGTTTGAGGGATTGAGGGCAGCAGAGCACGGATTAGGGTCTGGATCCAAAGGAAGTTTCCTTCCTGGTCTTTCCTCCTTCCTCTCATGTGACACATAGAGCTTCAGAGCCAACTGGGATAAAAAGGATGCCTTTTTTTCTCAAAGCTCATCCACTTTAAAATACATTATAGCGTTTAAAGTCAGTTTAAAGGCAGTGAATCTAGACAAATCCCCTCTCAGTCACACGAGTCAGGGACAACTGGGACCACAGCCAGTTTCAAGTGAGCTCCATGTGCTGCAAGTACCTCGCTGCTTTTCCTGCATGAATGGTCTGAACACAGGATTCAGAAACTCATTTCTCAAAGCCTGGGAATTTTTTTCCCCTTTCTTCTGTCGACTCCAAAATAAATAACTTGAATATA